CTGGCTTACACACACACACACACACACACACACACACACACACACACACATGCACAGTGAAATCCTCCCATCATGGACTGACCCACATGAAGGTCAAGAGCTTACCCCAAGGATAGCAGCACCCCATTGTGATGGAGCCCTGAAGTAGCATCACTTGGGATATGGTAGTGATAATAGCAACAGGAGCCATTTCCTCCCCTAGCCCATCACTGTGTGGTAGGACTTCCTGCTTCTCTGTGTCCCATTTCTGGACAGAGGGTGAGGGCTGGGCATTCTGGGACACAGAAGCAGATGGGAAGAGCAGGGAAGGAATTTGGGGAGTTCCACAAAGACTCCCATGTTCAAACTATGGCCAAGACTTGAGGTGTTGTCCTTACATTTGACTGGAGGAGACACAGAACTGCCCCTGGCATCCAGTTCTGAGACACTGTGTTAGGAACCATTTCCAGAGAGGGTCTGCCGTGTGAGCCTCTCTGATTTTCATTGCTGACGTTTTAGACATTTTTCACTCTGTATCTCAGGCTAGTCATGAACTCACCACGTAGCCCAGGCTGGCCTCAAACTCACAGCTGTCCTGCTTGAGCCTTTGCAAACACTGGGATTAAAAGTGCACTCTATCATGTCCACCTGTGGCAGTTTGACCTGGAATGGCCCCAGAGACTAGCATGTGTGAATGCTTGGTTACCCAGGAGGGACACTCTCAGGAGGAGTGTCAAGGGGAGAAGGGCAGACTTGGAGGTCTCAGATGCTCCAGCATGGCCCAGTGGCTCACTTGCTTTTCCTGCACCTGCTGATCCAGATGTGGATCCCTAAGCTCCTTCTCCAGCGTCATGACAGCCTGTATCCAGCCATGCTGCCCACCGTGATGATAATGGACTGAACCTCTGAAACCCCAAGCCAACCTCAACAGTTTTCCTTTGTAAGAGTTGCCAGTGGTCATGGTGTCTCTTCACAGCAATAGAAACCCTAACTAAGAAACCAACTCTATCAATTATTTTTTGTTTGTCTGTTTTTGAGGCAGTCTCAAGCAGCTCAGGCTGGCCTTGAACTTACTAGGTAGCTGAGGATGACTTTGAACTTCTGATCCTCCATTCTCCTTCTCTTGAATACGGGAATTATAACTGTAAACTACATCTGGTTTATGTGGTACCAGCTATGGATTAAATCCAGGGAGAGCCATGCATACGTATGTTAGAACAACAGTCTATGAACTGATCGCATTCTTGACCCCCCTAACAATTACTTTGAAATATTTAATTCTCTGTTATCTACTGCCTTTTGCTTAAAGTAACTAGAGTGTTTAAATTGAAACTATTTTGATGCTACTGCATCCAATTAGAGAAGAGCCATCATCAGGACCTTGTTCATTAACTAAGATTACGTGCAATTTCCCCACTAAAAAGAAGAACGTGAGCTAAGCCTGCTGCTGCAGGCTTGTAACCCTAACTACTCAGGAGCCTGAGGCCAAAGCAATGCAAGCTCGAGGCTGCTGGGCTATGGAGTGAATTCAAAATCAGCCTGGGAAACTTAGCAATACTATATCCCAAAACTGAAAATAAAAAGAAATTTGAATGGTTGCAGATATGACTCAGTGGTGGAACATGTAGGTAGCATGTTCGATCACCAGCGCTTCAAAATGAAAGAATACAAACTCACTGAATACTGAAGGAGACTATTTTCCTAATCCTGACAATCTACTGTGAATTGTGTAGAAATTCTTTAAAAATCATGTGCATTCCGCTCACCTCAGCACCTGAAACAGAAGCATCAATTTATGTGGGGCTTGCTGCCATTTTTAACCCGACACCCATGGCAGACATTACTAATGAATCGTACACTCCTTTGCCTTGAGACTGGGCATTGGCTCTGTCTATCTTTGTATAACACATCAAGTGACCATTTCCAGTTAATTGGATTGGGAGGCAAGAATAAAGCAGTTTAGCAATGCAGGCCTAAATTGATGGATTTGAAAGTACCAAAACATTTATGTGGTTATGTGGTGGTTTGGATGAGTCTGGCCCCATAGACTCACAGGGAGTGGCATTATTGGAGGCGTGGCTTTGTTGGGGAAAGGGGGGGCGGGCTTTGGGGTTTCAGAAGCTCAAGTTTCTTCCCAGTGGCTCACCCTTTCTTCCTGATGCAAAACTCTCAGCCACCCCGCCAACATGTCTGCCTGTGCGCTGCCATGATGATAAAGGACTAAACCTCTGAACTGTAAGTCAGCCCCAATGAAACATTTTCCATTATATGAGTTGCCATGGTCACAATCTCTTCACAAGGATAAAACTCTGAGACTGTAGGGAACCTCAGAGTCAGCTCAAGATACCCCAAGACCAGGTTCTCAGCACAAAGGAGGCTTATTTGCCCCAGAGAGACAGAAGGCAGGGATAAGAGACAAAGACAGGAGGCAGAGGAAGAGGGAGAAGGAGAAGGGAACAGGGGAGAGGGGAAAAAGAGGAGAAGGGAGAGGGGTAAGGGGTCTTAATCCCAGGGGTCTTAGTCTCTGGATAAAGAGGAGATAGACATGGCACATAACAAAATGACAGTTAGGATGAGGTGTTTAATTTTAACTAAGCATTGTTAACTAGGTGAGCCAAAGGAGGTTTCAATTCTTTGGTAGCTGGACCTTGGTAGCCAGCCTCAGGAGGAGGGATTTGTGGAGGCCCAAAATTACGAGCCTATTTCCAAAGGTCAGATAGTTGGAACTTACTAGGTTATTGTGCTTCAACCTCAAACAAAGGCCCACCTAGGTGTTGGTCTCAGAGCTCAGAGTTCTGCTCTCTCAAGGTTATTGCGAACAGGTGTGGTTAATTGCCAGCCCTGTACTCCAGGAATAGCTAAGTAGATCTGTTCCTACCTCAAACAAAAGCCTAAGGACCCAACTAAAGTTTCAGTTCCCTTTATGGAGATAACTTAAGATTCCACCCAGAGAGTGGTTTGCCTACAGAATGTTTTGGTCTAGTGTGTGAGCTTGACTTGTTCTAGCAACTAGCAACGGAATGTTTAACTATGAAATGTAGTCCATGACCTTCAATTAGTATGTCCATTTCCTTGTATCATGTTAATGCAGTCTTTTGTCTTACTCCTACCTTTTGGGGCCAGGGGTATTTTAAGCACTTGGAAATTAAACGCAGGCGAATTTTCAGTACTCACAGAAATTCCCTTCCGAGACTATCCTATGTGTTTATCTGTTTTATTATTTTCATTGGTGTCTTCCTATTTTTTACCATATTTCTAAATCCCCATGCCTCTACCCTGGCAAGAGGTAATTTTTGTAGAGGCTGGTCAGTGACAGGTATTGGCCAAATAAGGGAATAGACTTTAATGACTACCTTCTGGACTATAATCTAACGGTTTTTAGCAGGGCACAGGGAATGAGGGAGAAAGGCAAGGCCTGCAAGAGCCAAGCTCACCATGCTCGCCAAGCTGGCCAGGGTCTCTTTTCATGATTTGCCTTTGAGTGCTTTCGAGCAGGGCTCTGTGAATGCTTCAGTAGAACCCATCAAGAAGCTTCTCTAGCATCAGGAGATAGAGACGTGTGAATAATGACATTGCAAGAACTGAAGGGATGACGTGAAGATGCATCTGAAGTGTCACGGGGATGAGCACGTCCTGATGGGAGCTGGCAGGACAGGACAGTATGGGAGGGGAGGACGTTTGGGCTTTCAACTTACAGCAACGTGGAGAGGGAAGAAGGGGTTGTAGGTGGAGAAGGGGAACTGACTGGATAAATACCCAGAGGGCAAACAGAGGTCAAGGTGAACAAAGAAGAGAGGAGGAGGTACTCTGGGGAATAACAGACCTGGAAGTGGAGTGACCGAAAGGTTTAGAAGATGCCCTGGCCTAAGACAGCTCAGGGCCCTTTGGCTTAAGGATGCTGGCCTTTCTCTGTAGAGGAAAGCAAGAAGGAGGAGCTTGAAATGGAAGGATGGTGGCCAGGCGGGCACTCTTAAGAACAATGACTTTGTCGGGCAGTGGCGGCACACACCTTTGATCCCAGCACTTGGGAAGCAGAGGTAAGTGGATCTCAGTGAGTTCGAGGCCAGCCTGGTCTACAGAATGAGTTCCAGGACAGCCGGGACTGGTATACAGAAAAACCCCATCTCAAAAGAACAAGGACTTTGTTGAAAGATGTGTGGAAAACGCCAGATCCTAGGAAGAGCTGTCACTGGGTGTGCGTCACACATCAGACAAGCCCCAGGCCACAGACAGAAACATACCTGCAGTGGAAATTTTAATACAAAGATGGTTTTGAAATTTTTCGTGAAATCTACTAGATTTATCATCTTAACTTTTTCTTTAAAGACAGTGTCTCTCTGGATAGCCCAGGCTCATTTTGAACTCAGGGTCTTAAGATCTGAGCTGAAGGCAGGTGTCATTTTAACCACATCTTTTTTTTTTTTTTTTTTTTTTTTAAGAAAGGGTTTAGGTATTCCAAGCTGACTTCAAACCTTCAAACTTGCAGAGTTACAGCAGGGCGGTGGTGGCAAAAACCTTTAATCCCAGCACCTGAGAGGCAGAGGCAGGCAGATCTCTGTGAGTTTGAGGCCAGCCTGGTCTACAAGAGCTAGCTCCAGGACAGGCTCCAAAGCTACAGAGAAACCCTGTCTCAAAAAGCCAAACACCAAAAACAAACAAACAAACAAAAAAACCTTTCATAGTTAGCCAAGGATGACCTCGAACTTCCAATCCACCCCCATTCCCCTCTGAAGACTAGGAATACAGGCGTGTACTACCAGGCGCTATTTATGTGCAGTAAAAATCGAACCCAGGGCTTTGTATATGTTAGACAACCATTCTACCAGCTGAGCATCCCCACAGCTCCGTTTGGACCATTTTCAAAGTGCCATTAGTGACCGCAAGTACATTCATATTGTTACATACAACTGTTAATATCTCTGGTACAGTTCCCAACAGCCAGCCAGCAGGTAAGCTAGACTGTCCCCACCTATTAGATCCTGTTTCCCCAAAACCCACTTGGCAATCTAACCCCCACCTACCTCATCATCCTCTCCGATGGCCATTCCTTTTCAGAAACTCCAACAGACTCCATAGACCCAGGTACAGCTCACACCAGTCAGAAGTACAGCACCCGGTCCACTGGGCTCCATATTCTGGTTTGCAACTTTGGAAGAAGACTTCGGCTTTACAGGAGGCCAGGTTGGGTCTAGGCACCAAAGGACCCACAAACCTCAGCAAAGAAAGCCTACTGGAACTGAAGACTTGTCAGTCACCAGAATCCTGGGCCCACCTAAGCCAGAAGACAAGAGAGGAAACAGAAAACAAAGAAGCAACTGTTAGCACCATAGATCTCCAGAGCTCCTTTTAAACTGAAGTCTGTCCCATGAACCACCAACTTCCCATTTCTCTCTTCCTTGTTGTTCTTATGCAGTTAAGTATTTTAGAGAGCTTGTAAAATTGCAAAGGACTTTGTACAAGGGCAATGTGTGGTCAATATTCAAAAGCTAGGCAGACTCTGAAGGATGCCGAAGTCAAAGGGACAGCTGAGAGAAAACAGGAACTAGGAAAGAACCAAGTGCCTAATAGGGCTATCTTCCCTTCCCCTCTCCCTCCCACAAAGCTGAGATCCAAGGCTACAGGATCAAGCTGTGTTCTGGTACCCAGGAAGCTGGCCAAGGGGCATGCACTACAGGCGTTGGAAAAGAAGAGCCCTGCTGGTGGCTGGAAAGGTCACTAGAAGGTGCAGTTATCAGTCAACAGAAGCAGTTTCCTGGCAGAGTAGAATTTGCTGGAAGTCACGGGTGAAAGCCAGCTCCATGCGCCATGAGTAAGAAAGAGTGCTGGCAGCCCTGTCTACACTGGTGAAAGGTCACTGAGCCAATGGGCAGCAGCCTAGGCGGAGAAAGGAAATAGGCTCAATGCTGAGTTCAAAGGCCTTGAGGGTTCAGTTCCAGTATCTCCAAGCAAGGCTAAGATCCATGGATCACCCCTAAGAGGTGACACCTTGGTAAGTGGTGAACTAGAGAGGAGTAACTGGATCGTGGCTGTGTGGACAATTATTTGGATGCGTGGGGAACACCCACAGTTACCTGAAGTGGGGATGGACCACACGGCCAATGCTGTCTTGAGTTTCCAGAGTTTTGCAGTGTTGTGGAGTGTGTGTGTGTGTGTGTGTGTGTTCATTCGGATGCACTTGCCAGCATGTGTGCAAGCCAGGTGGTTAACCTTGGGTGTCATCCTTAAGAACCAGCCTTTTTTTTTTTTTAGACAGTCTCTCACTCTTTTACCAGAAATTTCCAATTCAGCTAGTCTAGCTGGCCAGAGAGGTCCAGGGCCCAATCTACACTTTGCCAGTGTTGGACTCTAGCGTCCAAACACCAAGGAGGAGTCGCCCCCAGAGACCACCTCACACATCACAGCTGATGAAAAAGCATGAGGATTTTATTAATTCTGTCATGACAGGGTCCCTCAGCATTCGGGAAGCCAAGAGACCTCGAATAGCTGGCACAGGCTACTTTCAAAGGAGAAGGCCACAGAAGCAAGGGGGCTTGTGATTGGCTTATTCAAAAGGGCTATTACAAAGAATTGGCTGGAGAGGTGTTGCCAGATCAGATGAGGTAAGGTCATTTTGACCTCGTTTCCCAGGGGACTGAATCAAAACATGTGTATATGGGTAATTGTTCAGGAACTGAGTACGTGCATGTGTAGCTGTTAGGTCCTTGGGTCCCAGGGGAGGAGGGGAAGCACTATGGCACGGAGGCTGAGAGGATTCAGTATTGTCAAAAATGGCTTCAGAATTGTCTTAAAGTCTTACACCAGCACTGGGATGGCAAGAACCAGTGTACTCGGCATTTTTATGTTCTGGGTTCTGGGGATGGAATCAGGTCTTCATGATGTCTGGTCACGTGCTTTCCTGGCTGAGCTATCTCCCTAGTCCCAGACTGCAGTTTTCATGCTGGGTGACTAGTCAACCATCTAAATCAGTGATTCTCAACCTGCAGGTAGCAGCCCCTTTGGGGTTGAATGACCCTTTCACAAGTGTCACCTAAGACCATCAGAAAACACAGATGTCTACATCATGATTCATGGCTGTACTGTAGCAAAATTACAGTGATGAAGTAGCAATGAGAATAATTTTTGGTTGGGGGCTACCACAGCATGAGGAGCTTTAGTAGTAGTAGTATTAATTATTATTTTTGCAGAGAGTCTATGGGTACCACCATCCCTAGATTAGCATCTACATTTCTATAAGATGCTTGGATAGTTTATAGGCACCTTGAATACAAGGCATAACATTTTTTCTGTGGTTCTTTAGAAAAACACACATCCCTGGCCTCATTGATGAGAGTCTCATGAGCTTCCAGGAGAGACTGATGTTGCCAGTCCCTACAGGACTTAGCTATAATTAACAAGACCCTGACATACCATTTCTCTAACTTGGCTGAACACTGGGAATACTCGGCCAACTTTAACCTAGCCAGTGTCTGATCCTACCCTCAGAAGTTCTGATTTAAACAGGTTTGGGTGAGGCCCATTCAAACTCTGGCACTTCGAAAGCCTCCCGAATTGGTTGCCATAGGCAGCCAAACAGTCCAGGGCAGAAGTTATAGGTGGGTAGCCAAAAGCAGCCGCACGTCGAGTTAAGTTGGCCCACCCAGTGTTTCACAGTTCGACTGCCAACATTTAAAAACAGAAATTTCACATAGGTATGCATATGAAACCCAGGTTTCCAATTTCTCTTTAAAAAATCCTAAACCCAGCACCCTCAGCCCCAGTACCTGTGAAGCTACCATGAGTCAGTATGACAAAGTGACTGCCTTCAGAAGCCCCACCCACCTGATCCCCACTGCTGTCTTCCCTCTACTGTTGCCCCAGTAGGCATCACTCTGCCAGCCCAGACGGAACTCTGGAAGGAGGCGCTGGACCCTCTCCACTGGAATCTGTCCTTTCTTGGCTCTGCTGCTTGGCTAGGGGACAAACAGTTCTTTCCAAAATCAGGTTTCATATTTTTGAATTACAATCAGCCAGTATGTTGTAAATCTGGGTATTTTGCCCGTGTGCCTTTATCTTAGATTTGTTACAACCTGCATAGCATTGTTTTACAGGAGCACTTGGATGTTCAAAGATAAATGATGATCCCTTGTTGGAAAAATCTTATGATCTACTTGGTGAATCAATGCCGGGCCAGCTTTGCTATTTCAAGGGAATGCTTCAGCCTAGATGGTTAACTCCAGACATCAGTTGTTTGCATTTACACTCAGAATCAGAAATATTCACAGCTCACAAAGCTCCTTCCCAGGCAGAGAAAGACTCTGTCTTTCATAGAGTCTCCACCATGAACCAAAACAGATGGGGGGCGGGGGGAAGGCTCAAGGAGAGTAGTGAGCTTCTGAGGCTGGCATGGGCTACTTGTCAGGACTTTCGATCTCTGTACTGACTCTAAAGCACTATCCTTGAAGAAGAAAACACTTCTTGGAGAGACCTCAAGAGAACCATGGCCCTCGACCACCACAGGACATCAGTCTGGAAGCCAGAAGGTTCTGGAAATGCTCACTTCTGCACATCTGCTTCCGGACCTCACGCTGCTCATATCAGACGGTTCTTGGAAAGGTCTTAGTTGGTCAGAACAACAAAAGTTCCTAAGAGCTGTGCCTTAGGGTTTCTATTGCTGTGAAGAGACACCAAGACCATGGCAACTCTTACAAGGAAAACATTTATTTGGGGTGGCTCAATTATATGTTAAGAGGTTCAGTCCATTAGCAACAAGGTGGGATGCATGACAGAACCCAGGCAGACAAGGTACTGGTTATAGCTTGATCAGAAGGTAACAGGAAGTGAACTGAGACACTGGGCAGTATCTTGAGCATATATGAGACCTCAAAGCCTGCCTCCCCAGTGACACACTTCCTCCAACAAGGTCACACCTACTCCAACAAGGCCACACCTCCTAATAGTGTCATTCCCTATGAGATTATGGGGGCCAATTGCATTCAAACTACCACAGGATGCTTCACCCAATAGAAAGAGTAAGGACGGGAGAGTTCTCCATACCTGTCCAAGAGCCCCACAGCCTCACCCCCACCGTCTTAACCAAGGACAGTCAGATGCATCTGACTGTTTGAGCTTTATTCCCAACCAAAAGAAAGGGATGTAGATACAGCGAACAGACAGAAGAAGAGGAGGAGGATGGGGTGTAAAGGAGGAACGCTCGACCTCAGTAGATAGGATCCAGGAGCTCAGAGTGGACAGAAGGCTGCTCAAAGAAAGGGCAAAAAGAAAGTCGTTGAGGTAACAGCCTCTGTGAAACTAGCAAGCAGGCACCATAGTTTACTAGGAGTGTGTATGGTCCCAGGCTATTGTCTCCCACTCTACCTACCAAGGTTATTAAGATGTTGTACTGATCTATACAAACTCACTCCCTTGCTGGGAGGAGTAGGACCTTCCCTACACGTTTGTATCCATAAATTTATATAAACATCAATATGGTTATTAGCTGTGCCTCAGGGCTTGAAAGCAGACATGACAGTCAGTGGAAAATCTCTATTTCCATCGCTTGTGTCCTGGTTCTTGCTTCCTCATGTCTCCACCAGACACCACCTCAGACTCCCAAACAACCTCCCCGATTCTTCTTCTCCTTCAGACGGACCCATCTTCCCTATTTTAGCTACAGACAGTGATTATCTTCTTGCCTGTACCCAGGAATCAACTAGAAAACTAAGATAACAGATGGCAAGGTACTTCAAGCGGTTGGTAGTAAGATTAAAGAGTCTGAATCATGACCCCCTGGGAACAGTTTACTGCACGCTTCCCTGGAGTTGTGGACATGATACTTCCTTGTGGAAGAGTCCAATCCAAGGCTCAATACCTCACCTGCATGGTCTGGAACCAAAACTGAGCGAAGGACATCAGGATTGAACATGCATACGTACACCTCTGAAGCTGCTGGTAGAGGAAGCCCTTGATTGAACAGCACCACGGAGGTTTGTATACCTAACACAGTGTGGGCCAACAGGTGAAGACCCCATTGCCTGATCCTCAATCAAAGCCAGGGCAATGCGTGCTCAGGAAGCAGGGTTGGTAGACAACTTTGACACAGCTCTCAGAAGCTCAGATCACTAGCAGGGAAGAGCAGCTGGAGGCCAGGACTCCAAATGGTCCCAACAGCTCGATCTCTTAATTGGTTAAATTTAGCTCACCAGAAGTCATTTGCAAAAGTATAAAATAGATACACACCGGTTCAGAAACATCTGAGATCTGAGAAAATGGAAACCATTAAATAGAAGAGGGTCA